TCTTCACATGTTAGCGGTTCAGATTTCTTTAATTAAATGTAATCAATATTTAATTAAAGAAATCTAAATTGCTAACATGTGAAGATTTATCAATAGAAGATTGAATAAATCAATCTTCTATTGATTAACTGATTTATGAGTGCTGAATTTAGATTTACTTACTTATAAAAGTGTTCATTCATAATCCTTTTCAGCCTTTTTTTCAGGGTTTGTTCATAACATTTTATTGTCTTCTCCTACTTTCTGTGATTATTGTGTCTAATTGTTTCAATTAACTGTGCTCTGACAACCTTAACAGCCTTTCTGCAGGGTTTCAGTTAGTGATAAGAACATGTGTCAAACCAGAACAGAGGAGAACATCGATCTGGAAGGGCTGCTACTGTATATTTGAAGGATAATAAAATGGCAACTGAGTGAATTATCATGTGTCTCCTTTATCTCCGATGTTGATGAGTCCGCCTACAGGTGGGAGGTTGACCATCTGGTGACCTGGTGCAAGGAGAACAACCTGGATCTCAACGCTCTAAAAACAGTGGAGATGGTTGTGGACTTCAGGAAGAACTCAGCACCAGCTGTCCCCATCACCCTCTGTGACTCCAAAATTGTCATTGTGGAGCCTTCCTGGGTACTATCATCTCACAGGACCTAAAGTGGGAGCTGAACATCAACTCCCTTACCAAGAAAGCCTAGCAGAGGATGTACTTCCTGCGGCAGCTGAAAAAATTTACTCTGCTAAGAACAATGATGGTACACATCTACTCCTCCATCAATGAGTCCAATCTCACCTCCCCCATCATCATCTGCTACGCTGGTGCCACCACCAAGGACAAGGGCAGACTGCAGAGTGTCATCCAGTCTGCATGGAAAGGGATTGGCTGCAATCTTCCATCTCTCATGGATTTGCAGGCCTGCAGGACTATGAGGCATGCAGGAAAGTGTGTTACTGATCCCTCACTGATACCCCAGCCACAAACTATTTCAGTCACTTCCCTCTGGCAGGAGGCTGCGGCCCATCAGGACCAAAACCTCACACCACAAGAACAGTTTCTTTCCATCCGCTAACAGCCTTATCAAGAAGGCCTAGAGGCCTCCGTGACACTGCCTCTCTCCCTCCTCACCCAGGACCTACAAGCTACACCGACGTAGCAGCTCCAGACCTTCTGCGCTACATTACTACAGTACTATAAATTGCATATAGAATATTGTAGGTTTTTTACTGTATATAGGTATAGATTATGTATTCTGTATACACATCTATTTTGCCTACACCATCAATACAAGTCAAATTTCTTCTAAGTGCAAACCTTCTTGGCAATAAAATTGATTATGATAGTATTGGTATTGCATAGTTGAATACTCTTTTTCCAAACAAGACAAAAAAACAAAAACAAATGAACAAATACAGCAAAAATCAATAAAAAGTTGATTTCCTGTGCAGTTAGCCATTACCAAAGGCCAACAATAGTTTTTGGTTTAATGCAAAATGAGTAGTTTGGATAGATGCAAATTTCATTGCTTTGTACTTGTGACAGTGTAATGACAATAAAGTTGAATTCTTTTCTATTTTATTCTAAAAGTTATTCCTGCAAAAGCAACAGAGACATGATGAAACATACATTTTCCTATGTTCAGTGTTCAAAAAGAGGAGAGGGAGAAATATTAGATGCAAATGGTGGATAACATAATGCATTTAAGTTTCCTCATTTTTGTCCCTCTTAAAATCTGTTGTCCTAGTTAACTTGTAAGTTATTTAATTTCTTCTTTACTTATTAAATAAAGAGAAACAAACTGTCAAATATTCTAGAATTGTTAATTTTTAGGTGGGGAAATCATGAGGTTTTTGTGCTCAGGGCCTTGCAGTAGTTAGAACTGCCCCTGATTATACCATTTATCTAAAATTGTGTCACAGGAGTTTTTGCTGAGTCAAGTTGGACTGTAATTGCCTATTATAATAAGTAAATTAAATCAATGAATTGTAAATGGTAAATGGCCTGTACTTATATAGCGCTTTTTCAAGTCAGGAGACTTGAACAAAGCGCTCTACTCTACATTCAGTCATTCACGCACACACTGATTGTGGCAAACTACATTGTAGCCACAGCTGCCCTGGGGCTCATTGACAGAAGCGAGGAGAGGCTGCTGTACACTGGCGCCACTGGACCCTCTGACCACCATCAGCAGACAATAGGGGTGAAGCGTCTTACCCAAGGACACAACGACACTGAAAGCCCGCTTAAACCGTGAACCCTTTTGTAGTGCAAGCAAAAAGAAATTTTGTTTAAAACAGCTCTAGACAATTAATTTTTTTAAAGTGCAGCCTTGAAAAACATTAATAAATACAAAAAAATAGTAATATAAACATATAAATATATTTACTGTTCTAACATATTTTTTTTTGTCTACATCTTTATATGTCTTTATCTATCTATCTATCTCTCTAGACTTAGACTTAGACAGACTTTATGGTACACTCTGGTACACAGAGTGTATACAAAATGAAATTTTGTTCAGTACATCTCTTAAGACATTTCCATTGTCTTTTTTTTTTTTTACATTATCCTGTCTGGTAATGTAACAATAAGAATAATTGTCTTGATGCCAAATAGAGCCCAACAGATTATACTTTCACAAGTGGAGTAGTAGGTCCGCTTGTTTCATGCATATAAATTGCTTTATTATAATTTTGCAGGGAGTTTTACAGAATATATGGACACTGCAAAGTAAGTAGAACAAAAGGGGAAAAACAGAAAAACAAGGAGAAAAGATGACAAAAGAGGAGATGAAAGGGAGATAATGATAAAACATTTTCAGTCTGCTTCATCACCTGCAAAGAGATGTAAAAAGAAAAGCACAACCAACAGACACCGTACGAGACATACAATAAAGTAACACCTAGATACTATCGCTGAAGTAGTATTATTTAATCTGACATGTACATGATATTTCCATTTTTAATGTAAACGTAAGACTGGCATATGATTTACTGTTCCAACATTCAGCACTTTTTTATCTATCTATCTATCTATCTATCTATCTATCTATCTATCTATCTATCTATCTATCTATCTGTCTGTCTGTCTGTCTGTCTGTCTGTCTGTCTGTCTGTCTGTCTGTCTGTCTGTCTGTCTGTCTGTCTGTCTGTCTGTCTGTCTGTCTTTCATTAGAGGAGCTTTCACTAATATATCTATCTACATAAATGTATGTATCCCTTGCTGTAAAGTTTCAGCAGATATAAAGTAAGCTTTTGTACCAACAAACAGTACTTTAAGATAAACAATAGCTGTTTTTTTTTTTTTGTCTGTTTTTGGAAAGACAAGCTTGTTCTTTATTTAGTTAATTAACTCGCAATGGAAAGAGGGACCACACAGCTTGGGAAAGGGGAGTCGGTCGGATGTGGATGGTCGTTTGGTGCATGGCGCGTGTTTTGAAGCTGCTTATGGAGAAATGTCTTGGGCCGTGAGTAGTGAGGAAACAGGAAGCGATTCTTGTGGGATGGAAGAGGGAAATAGTGACAATGAAGGGTGGAAGATAGCAACATCAAAAAATGAGAAAAAGCGGAAAAAACAGAGATCAGTTCAAGGGGAATCTAGTTCAGAACAATCCAGTGATGATCATTCCATACATTCCACAGCACAACAAAATGAATTCAAAGTCATATTCAAAGTCGTTAATCAGGCAGACTCTTTTACAAATTGGAATCCGGTTCACTTAACAAAAACCATCAATAAACTTGTCGGAGAAGTCAGAGGTGCCAGAATTCTGTACAGTGGAGACCTGCTAATTAACTGCAGAGACAGCGCCCAGCAAGGCAAAGCAATACGGATCAACAAAATTGACGGGATAAGAGTTCAGTGCAGCCTAATGGAGAACAAAAAGATCAGCAGGGGAGTCATTGGAGGAGTTCCTCTAAAAATTTCTGAAAAAGAGATTCTGGAAAACATAAGCGGTGCAAAAGTAAAAGAAGTAAAACGGTTAAAAACAACAAGAAACGGAGAAAGATCTGACAGTTTATCAGTGCTAATTAAATTTGAGGAAGAGCAATTACCAAGCAAAGTATTCATCGGTTACATAAGCTATAATGTCAAAATCTACAATCCTCCACCATTGAGATGTTTCAAATGCCAAAAATTCGGTCACATTGCAGCAGTTTGTAAAGGGAAACAGAGGTGTGGAAGGTGTGCAGGAGAACACGAATATGGTAAATGTGGAAAAGAAGCTATAATAAAATGCTGTAATTGTGGTGGAGAACATACTGCTGCTTATCGCGGCTGTGAAGCAAGCAAAAGGTCTGAGGAAATTAAAAAAATGAAATTTGAGCTCGGAATAACCTACGCTGAAGCTGCAAAAAGGATCCCATCTCAGTCAGAAAAACCCAAACCTACAGTTCAACACACGGCAAATTCCAAACCTCTAGAGAATCAAAAAATTGATGAAGACTCACTTATTGTTAAAAAGACAAATTTTGTTCTTTTCATGGTAGAAGTAATTAATTGTACTGCACAGACAACAAAAAAAACGGAAAAAATCAAAATAATAGTGAAGGCTGCAGAAAAATATCTGGACATTAAAGATTTGAACTGGGAGATGGTTGGAAGTATGATGGGAGGACCGATGGGACCATCAGAAACTGGCAGAGTTAAGATGACCTAGAGTAAATTAAAAATTATATGGGCAAATGTGATTTAGTATTATGTTGGTTTAAGTTACACAGGTTTTTTTTTTTTTTTTTTTTTTTTTTTTTTTTTTTGGGGGGGGGGGGGGGTGAATCGTTTTCTGTTTTCTTGCTTTACTCCATATCAGTTGGTGGCGGTAATGCACAATTCACAAGTCTGCCAACCGCCATAAAACCCCATAAGAAGAAGAAGAAGAAGAGGGACCACACATTCAATCCGAGTAGAGAGCAGCAGTAAACATGGGGCTGTGTGTGCGTTTGTAGCAAGCTTTTATTTTCTTGATTACCCGCCTCGATTTATAAAAGATTCCACATCCGGTTTACCCGGAAATCAGCATATTTCCCAAAGATGGCGGAGCAAGGTCCAATGGCCATAGCGATGCGGCTCCGAAATCAGCTCCAGTCCGTCTATAAACTGGACCCACTGCGAAACGAGGTGAGCCGCTGTGAGGTTTATGTTCTTTCCCAACCAAGGAAAACGTCCTGAGCTCCAGAGAGCCAGAAGGGGCCGTTAATGAGGCGTTCTAACGGGGGATGGTTGTCTGCGCTGCGCTGATGGAGAGAGACTGAGAGTGATGCTCGAGCATGCGTATACGACGGGGGGTCTAACTGTGTTGTTCCGCGGAGCAACGTGCATCAAAGCTCCCAACCAAGTGTTTAAATCCAACATTTCATTCAAAGCTTTCTTTGCTGTAGTAGGAATTAAACTTTTTGGTTTGCGGGTGAGAGTAAACTGGCGGCAACCGTCGCTGCGCTCCGATGGCTCTCATTCGATTTGAAGTAACGGCGGTCCGCGTCCAGTTGCTACTGCTTCGCTCTTTGCTCTGTAGTTTGAGAATAGCCTTTATTCAGTCCTCGCAAACGGCTCTCGACTTTTCATGTTAAACTCAGTTTCTGGTTTGAACCCATTTTCCCTTTTCAGCTGGATCTCAGAGGTCATGGTGAGCTCGGTTGCTCCTCCTCCGTGTTGCTTGATGTCCAGCGCTGAAAGCCTAAAAGAAAGGACAATGTTTTGCCCTTTCAGTTAGTCTGTTTGCTGTGACTCCTCTGCAGCAGCTCTACTGTTTAAAAACACAAACAAACAAAAAACTTTGTTTGAGGCTTAACAGTTTGGGAATAAATCACATCCAGCCAACAGCAGCCTATATTTTAGATGTTTCCCTGGTCCAACACACATGGATTAAACTACTGGATCATCAGAAGGCTCATACAGGACCTGATGAAGCTTTTAGGATATCATTTAGCTCTTTGAAACAGTAAGTAGGTGCAGGGTTTGAATCACTTTCTGTGTGGAGTTTGCCAGTTCTTCCTGTGGAAATGTGGCTTCCCTCCTCGTCCCATCATCCAAAAACAGAGGCGTAGCCAGAACATTTTTATAAGGGTGGCCAGGCAATTACCAATGTATGTTGAGAGGTGGCCGAAAGTGGATAGGCGACAGAACCTCAGGGTCAATCTACACTGTTCCAACAGAAAATTAATGAGCAAAACATCAATATTTTCTAAATAAAGGGCGTTTCTCAATATGCGTTCTTGAGCGTTCTCGTGTGCTCGTGTACTCGTGACACATCATCAGCCTCAGCCCGAGTACCGTTCCAATTCTCGAGAACGCATCAAATCCCCGGATGTTGTTCTCACCCAGCCCGCTTTATCGAGCATGCATCAGAGCAGACTTGTGCGTTCTTCAGACTAACCGCTTCCCCAGAATGCCCCGCGGCCGCAGCTTGATTCGAGACAGCGCTCACAGTGTTAAGTTAAACATTCCCTTTTCTGCTGCCGTTGTTCTTCAAAAGTACGTTTTGAAATCGTTTGAGGCGATAACATTATACATTTAAGCCTCCCTGTGTGGTCTGTTTACAGAGTTAGTGCGAAAAAAAAAAAAAAAAAGTCAGACGTTGAGCGGACCAGAGTGACCAGCAGACCTCCGAGGGTAACCGCAGCCAGGGCTAATGTTACCCCGTCTGTAGTGCACTTCTCTCGGTCTAGTTATGTGTGAACTACCGCTCGTTCTGATGGCGGTTTTTTGCGGTTCAGTAATTTTAAAAAAAATGTTTTTTAAGCTTTAGAAATTAAAAATATTGTTTTCAAAATGTTTTGTGTAGGGAATAAATAGTTTTGACTGTTAAAGAAATGCTAAACAACGTTGGCTGTGGTGACGTCACGAGTACGCTTCTGCTCCAATACACATACGTGCTTGCGTGCTCGCGTTCTTGTCAAGTCCGATCTTCCTGCGCAAGAACGGACTTGACGAGTACGTACTCGCGTTCTCGTGAATTGAGAAACGCCCAAAGACGAACTATTCTTTCCTACAGCCTTTGCTACGGAGCCCCCTGGTTGTCAGGGTAAAAAAAAAAAAAAAAAAGCCGGTGGAAATCTGTGGACATGGATTGATAAACTGAGCGCACGGTTTTCCAATCTGTGCATGCACATTAAGAAACTGTGCTCTCGGTTTATTAACCTATGCGCTGGGATCATTAAACTGTGTGCCCTGCTTTGCATTCTGTGCGCACACAGCTGCTCCGGAGCCTTCAGAGTTTGATGAGAGTTGAAGCTCTAAAGCATGCTCATTAAATCATTGCACTGTGCTAAGTTTATATATATATATATATATATATATATATATATATATTAATGTAATAAGCTTACCTTGTAGGTGCGACCCATGCATCGAACTCTGAAGGTTCCGGAGCAATTGTGTGCGCACGGAATGCAAAGCAGGGCACACAGTTTGTTGATCCCAGCGCACGGATCAATAAACCGAGAGCACAGTTTCTTAATCTGCGCACACGGATTGGAAAACTGTGCGCTCAGAGTATCAATCCATGCCCACGGATTTCCACCACCTTTTTTTTTTACCCTGACATCCAGGGGGCTCCATACTTTGCTAACAAATAGACGCATTTAAAGTGGATACACATCTTTTCCATTGTTATTACTTATTTACTAGGGATGGGACGGTTTATGAAAACCGTCCGAACCGTTTGGTTTGACTGTCTTGGTTCGGTTCGCGTGTGTTGCGTTCGGTTCATGCGCTGCTCCTTTTTCTCATAGGCGACGCGTTTACACTCCAGAGTAGAAGGTGGCGGTACTGCGACCAAAGCCAACCACCAGTAGTATACAAGAAGAAGAAGAGTGTAGCAGAAAAAAAATCTGTTGTTATGGAGAATTGTGTGGGTATGGCGAGTGGGAAAGAACGGGAGTTGGAAGACGCGCCAGCAGCACTTTATAGGTCTGCTGTATGGGACCACTTTGCATTTAGAGTGACCTACGATGACGGCGGAAAGAAAGTTGTGGATAAAAGTGCAACAGTGTGCAAGCATTGTGCAACACGTTTTGTTTATGCTAACAGCAACATGACCAACATGTCAGGCTAACTCTGAAATCCCACATACTCCATCAGCGCTCTGCCCCGCCTCGCTGCGCTCCAGACCGCCTGCATAAAGCAAAGCCTACAGCCCCCGCTGTGGCTCCCGTCCGCTCCGCTCTGAGTTCCTTGTAGATCGTAGAGGGCATGCGTGAGATGATTAAATTCAAAGCAGCAAAACATGCGGAAAGGATCCATGGTTTCCGCGGATAATTAAAAATAATTACAATCCATTTATTTATTTATTTTTTTTTTTTCATTAATTTTTATGGGATTTTGGGTGAAACAATCAACATATACCGAACCGAAAACCGTGACCACGAAACCGTGAATCGAATCGAACCGTGGATTTTGTGAACCGTTCCACCCCTATTATTTACATAAATTGATTATTTAATATGTTTTTATTAAAATAGTTATCTATGATTTCACTGAAGACTCCTAGATGACTTGCAGAGACACATCATTTTCTCGCTACAGACTGATTCATACTTCGAAACTAGGCCGTCTGCGTAGGTGAACGCAGTGAACAAAAAGATGCCCCGCCCCCTCCGCAGACACTCCACTGCACCTCTCCCAAATTGTAGGTCACCGAAGACAGTGCCACAGACAGGAGACCGGCTTGTTTGTTTTTATGAAAACAACTCGTCAAGTTTGACCAGCTAGAAGAGCGAGGTGTGCGAGAACACTGGGAGGATTTTTCCACCTGGATCTCCGCTCTTTTTGGCTCTTGTGTCCCTCTGTTGTCGGACAAACTTGCCCCCACTTCCTCTCCACCTCCGTATCTAGACCCGCAGCTTATAGCGCAGACCAAGCTTCAATACTGGGCATAAATCAAAAATGTCTGCATCAAGCTCACTGGGACACACTGCTGCAGGAGTATAACCAGCCCATACCCCATATAACACAATCTAGTTCTGAAAAGAGCATGAATTATGTTCTTACCTTTAATTTCCGTATATTTTTTGCAGAATTAACCACAGTGTCTTTGATGTCAAGTAAATGCCAATATGAAAAATGAAAATGGTTTGAATATTCCACTTGAGAGTGGTACTGTTGCCACTGTCTGTATTAGAGGAAAAAAGTGGCAGGGGTGGCCACAGGGATGGCCAATGATTGGCTTAGGATGGCTATGGCCCCTATCTAGCTCCGCCCCTGTCCAAAAACATGTCTGTGAAGGACTGGCAAACTGACCCATGACCAGGGCACTAATGATGGATATATTGATGGGACCAGATCTTCAAAAGGAGGCGAAAATGAACCTTGAAAGACACTATTTAGACCTAAACCCCAAAGTTGAGTAAAGTAGGACTACAGAAAATACGTTTGTCATCTAGCTCAAAAATCCCATCAGTCCAAATTAAATTCCCACCTTTAGAGCACAGCTTTTTTTCTTTAAAAAGTCTTAACTTTCAGTTTCTTCACAGCTTATCTGGATGAAAAGGTTATACGTTTTCCGATGAACTGAGGATATTCTGAGAAAATATAGTCCTTTTCTATGAGGTGTTCAGGATTAGGCACACCTGTAAAACACAGAGAACAGGGGAGAACTGATTCAGATGCTCTAATCCTTATCAGCCCAGCATGATATATTAAATGTCGATATTTTTTGAGTGGATCAGAATGACAGGAAATGATGACATCAAGTAGAATAACAAATTCTTAGTGATTCTTAATGCTGCTTCTTTTAAGAGGAATAATCTTAAAGGTTTTCATGATTTAATTGAGCTGGATTTAATTGAGTTCTGTCTGGATAAAATCTGAACTTGTTTGTGAATTTTAACTCCTTGGACTTTTAACTGTGTTTAAACCTTGCTGTGAACTATTTTCAACCAATTTAGAAACAAACCTATGAACTCTAGTAGAAATTCTCTTTTCACTGACTTACACTTTTACATGGAGATTTCTTATTTTAAAACAACTCAAAAACAATTTGAGTTTAAAATGACTCATAAGTCTGGAATATCCGTATTGAGGCGATTTTCGTTCTATCAATAACACATAGGCAACAAGCTGAATATCTGTTAAAGTGTAATGTAAAAGGAAAAAAAGGGCCTCTGGTCTCTCGCCTTAATGTGAGCTATGGTTACAAGGGAAATCTAATCAATCAGGGAACCTAACTTTGCACAACACCGGTGCAGTTGCTCAAAGAAGAGGCTTTCGTTCTAAGTTTGTCGATCACATCATTGAATGCTGCCAGACACGGATGGTTTCACGCACACTTCTGCTCATTCTTCTTCGCTGCTACTCCCTGACTTTTTATTGCAGTCGGCAGCCTGGGCATCAAAATAAAGGAGGGACATTTAGATTGAATTGAAAGGTTTGAAGTGGTTCCAATCAATTCTATGTGACCAATGCCAGGACTGCACTTGTGACCAAGGCAGAAAATTTGGAAAGAGACTTAAAAAGGAGAGAGAGAAGCTGTGAAGGTTCAGGCAACCATTTATTAAGATAACTTTTATTAAATGTAAAAAAGAAAAGGCACATTTGGGGAAACGTTTTTCTTCCCATACGTCAAACTTTCGGACAGTTCTGGTTACAGTTTGAAGGCACCAAGAACTTCCTGGCCTTTTGCATTATAGGTTGAGGCAATTGTGTTCTCTGGCATGCTCCTAGTCTTTATTTTTTTTGTCTCTTTCAATGGTAAACAAAAATGACTGTATTTATGTTGGAAATGTTTTTCCAGAACTAACCCTTAGCATTCTTTGTAAAGTTGAAACTTCTGCTTCTGCTGTGGTTTGAATAATGGCAGAACAGGAAAAAAGGAAATAATAAAACAGTAATTAGTTTCTTTGCTGCTGCTTTTTATAGTGAAACATTGAGTGAATATTTTTAAACCAAATATTTGTAATTTGCTCATCCTTGTGTTTCTAGGAGGAAGTGAAGTTAAAGATCAAAGACCTGAATGAACACATTGTCTGCTACCTCTGCGCTGGCTATTTCATAGACGCCACAACGATTACAGAGTGCTTGCATACTTGTAAGTTTATGAAGCTTAATTTTTATCCCTGTCTATAATTTCATTATAACATGTCTACTTGCATGCTTTCAGTATCATTTATTTATGTTTTATTTTGTTTTTACAGTCTGTAAAAGTTGCATTGTAAAATACTTGCAAACCAGCAAGTATTGTCCCATGTGCAACATTAAGATTCATGAAACCCAACCCTTACTTAACCTTAAGTTGGATCGAGTGATGCAAGACATTGTCTACAAGCTGGTGCCTGGTCTTCAAGAGAGTAAGTTCTGTGGTTTTTTTAGATGTGTTGGATTTTTTTTTATATGCATAAGCAGTGCCGTAAAAAGTATTCATTAGAAAAAGAAATTATTTAGATTGTGTTGTTTAAAAACAACAAACTGCATTTGTATTTTATTTTGGGTTTTGTCTGGTGGAGCAGCACAGACAGGGAGTAGTGCGGAATTGCTAAGCAGATAGGACATTGGCCCTAGTTTTCAATTAGTTGTGTTAGAAATAAAATCGAAAAAGTTTGGTGCGTTGTCAGTACTTTGCTAAAACACCCAGCTGGAAGTCCTTTAGGGTAAGTTGCTACCCGTTTTGCACATCTTAATCAAATGCTGACCAGTTTCCCTGCTAAAATAAACAACAAAAAATCTCCACAGCCTAACGTAACACTGCCATGTTTTATCCTGGAGCTTTTATGTTCCGGTTTGGCATGGGCGGGTATGCAATTCTGATGGTATGATAAATATGAGCAGAAATATCATGCTATTAAAACTAATGCTAAATTGTCTAAAGTAAAAATCAAAAAAACAAAACACAAAATACCTGATATGCATTTTGAAATGTAGACTCATCTTCAGTCAAGTCTCATAGTGAACTTTAATTGTCAGTGCAAGCAGTTTTTACATCTCAGGTGTCATACCAAAATGAGACTCTGTTGCAGCGTGTTGCCCCCCCTCTTAAGTGCACATTCACGCTTATATTTGCCATTTATTACAATTAATCCATACTGATCAGCAGAGTTTATATAGTAACGGTCATGTAAATTCTGAGCAAACCTTTTAAATGAAGGAAAATCAAATTAAACGAGTTTCCATCCTTTAGAGCAGGCATTCCCAAACTCGGTCCTCAAGGCCCGCTGTCCTGCAGGTTTTAGAGGTTTCTCTGCTTCAGCACAGCTGATTATAATGATTGCAGTAGACCAAAAGCCTGTTAATCAACTTTAAATTAAAATCGGCTGTGCTGGAGCAAGTAAACCTCTAAAACCTGCAGGACAGCGGGCCTTGAGGACTGAGTTTGGGGATGCCTGCTTTAGAGCAAGTTAACCAGATGTTGCAAAATATAATGTTGTCCTTTTTTTAGCTTACATTTTGATATCTGACTGATCTTATATTGGGGCTGAAACGGTTATGATAAATCGATTATTGAAATAATCGTCAACTAATTTAGTAATTGATTAATCGTTAACTAGAATATAGAGACTATAATGCATTTAGTTTGCAGAGCAACCCACTTAGAGCAGCAATTCTTTCAGAATTGTAAAAGAAAATATTAAGATTTTGCATTTAAGAAAAAAAAAATGCTCTATTTAGAACTCTTCAAGTGGAAAAGTTTGAGTTTCATCTTGTTCAATTTAGTAAAAAATATTCTTTAGAAACCTTTGGCTATCCAATTAATAATTAATTAATCGGAAAAATAATTGTCAGATTAATTGATTTGCAAAATAATATTAATAACATTTTGTTATGGTTTTGGCATGACTATTAAGATCTGTGAAAGTTCACTTTTTGTCTCTTGTGTTCAGCATACCTTCTCCCACCGCCTGCCCCCGATCCATGCAACTCCTCCTGAGTTACCTTAAAACTACAATGAATGATTTTCATTTTTTTGGTTGTAATATGAATAAAATAGGTTCAAAAAACCTTGAACACTTAATCAAGGCGCCGTCTTTCTATTGCATACTTATTTTCATGTAAAATGTGAATTTTAAAAAAGAAAACTATGAGCATGTTTTTAAGTGTTGTTTTTTTTTTTGCTTAGGTGAAGACAAACGAATAAAAGATTTTTACCAGTCGCGGGGCTTAGAAAGAGTCATTCAACCTGCCGGCGATGGTAGGTCCTTATTTTACAACTAAATTGATCTAATATTCTGAAAAGCTCCTGTTTCTGAAAGGACTCAGTGGTTATCAATTGTTATCAGGTGGATTTTCTTGCCTGAATTTCTCTATATTAACCTCCTCCTTTTTTTCTCTCCCAACTCCTCAGATGTTGCAGACAGTGCAGCACTACCTTTTACAAGCTTTGACCACTCTAAAGCTCACTTCTACAGATATGATGAGCAGGTTTCACTGTGTTTAGAAAGACTAAGGTAAATAGATTCTGTTATGATCTTTTACATGATTTATGCACATTTACGAAAAAAGGAGGAACTGCTCTATGAACATTTGTGTGGATGTGTTAGCACTAAACAGTTTTGAAAATACACGCTTTTTAACTATTTATTGTTTTGTCTTTTTAGTTCATCACTTTCTGGGAAAGATAAGACAAAACTTACTCTCCAGGTAGGTGTAACCAGTAAACTACGTAGCTTTTAGCAAAGATGTGTGATTATTGAAGTTGTTAAACCAGTTTTGAGTTGTTTAAAAGCAAAAAGGCTTTTAAGACCGAAGGGAAAAACAAATATATCCAGGACATAAAAAAACCCCATAACTGTTTAGCAAGTACATGGCACATTGACAGCTGCTGTTACAGCAGAATCCAGCCTTCAGAGCTGCTAAATCTTTGTGCTGCTGAAGCCTCTTATTTACAGAGAGACAGGGATAAGTAGGAGAAGCACGTCACGAGGTAGCGAACCATTCTTTATCTTACAGCCTAGGAACTACCGTATTTTCACGACCATAAGGCGCACCGTACTAAAAGGCGCAGTCTCAGTTATGTGTCCCATTTCTGTATTTAACACACACATAAGGCGCACCTGACTATAGGGCGCATTTTCTATATACAGGTACATGTCCTCTACTACCTTTAAATACCTCTACTGCGTATTTAAAAATACAGCGGGCCCAAAACTGAGTATGACTGTGCTTTATTCATGTATTTATTAAAAAGTATTAATCAAACCTGGCAGCTGGCCGTGAGACAGACACATCGCAGATGACACAACGCTGTGATCGCTCCTAAATTAACTTAAAATCCTGAAACCTGCCGACGGAATATGTTCGCTTTTATGGGTGCCTGCAGTTTAAATTATTTAGATGAAAAACACCTGCCATCCACCGCGTGAAGGAGGCTGCCCAGCCTAGAGGCTGCTGATGAAAGGATTTCTACTGTCGGCGCACCTCTGGTATGTGGGGGTCTGAGCGCCTCCGACAGAAATAGATAATCTGGATGAACCGACTGCAATTATTAAGTTTTCAGGTGGACTTTCTCACTTAAAAACATATTAAAACTACTTTATTCCCACTGATCACAGCAAATATAGCTGCAAGATTTAGATTATTTAGATGAAAAAACACCTGCCAGCCACCGCGGTGAAGAGGAGGAGACCCGGCCCAGAGGCTGCTGTTGAATTAAGTTTTCAGGTAGAAAAATAGAGCGGGAGCAAAACTGAGTATGATTGTGCTTTATTCATGTATTTATTACAAAGTATTAATCAAACCCATCAAAGTCATCATCCTCTGTTTCTGAATAAAACAGCTGCGCTAAATCAGACATGCCAATTTCCCCTTCTTCGCTGTCAGAGTCACTTTCCTTGCAGCGCAGCTCCTCAGAAATAATGCCGGCTTTTGCAAAAGCTTGAACAACAGAGCCAGCAGACACTTTAGTCCAAGCATCTACAATCCATCCGCAAACGGTGGCGTAACTTGCCCGGCGCTGCCTTCCACTTATCCTGAAACTGTGGTCTCCGTCTGTCATCCATCGCTCCCACGCCGCTCGCAGCCTTACTTTGAACGGCCGTTTCACACCGATGTCGAGCGGTTGAAGTTCCTTTGTCAGACCCCCGGGATAACGGCGAGCACAGCGTTCATTTGATTCACCTTTTTTTTCACATCGGCTGTGAGATGGGCACGCAGCGATGGTGACGCGTGGAAAAAACCACCTGGTCTCCTCACATGGGCTACACCTCCCTCAGCTACGCTTTCATCATTCCTCATCCATCCAGCCTTTTCCATTTGCGTTAATATCATATGTCATCAGAGCGCTGTGTCTGTCTCGCTGTCAGCTCCCAGATCAGCTTCTCTGATTGGTTTATGCGGCGCGTCCAGGAGCAAAACTTCAATTTTTCCATCTCGAGCAGCAGCAGCGCGTTGGCAGATGCTTAAACGCTCCTGCTGCTCAAAACGCGCTGCAGGACCTTTTGCTGCACCTATACGCGCGTCAACCATTTACTTTGCATGTAAACTCGCTGCTTCTGCTGCACCTGCTGGGTCCGGTTCACACCGATGTCGAGCGGTTGAACAGCGAGCACAGGGTTAATTTGTTTCCTCATGTTTTTCACATCAGCTGTGAGATGGGCACGCATGGAGTTAAATATTAACAGCGATGGTGATGAGTGGAAAAAAAAAACACCTGGTCTCCTTACATTCAGCCACTCTTTCATCATCTCCTCAAGGAGGTGGTCTCAAAAGTCGCAGTTACAACACACATAGGGCGCACCGCACCATAGGGCGCACCGCACCATAGGGCGCACTGCACATTTTGAGGGGAAAAAAGACGTTTAAGTGCGCCTTATAGTCGTGAAAATACGGTACCCACCTCATAACTTCATTGGGAAATTAGGAAAATGGAGTGGCTCTTTTAAATGAGCATAGATATCCACTGGTGTTTAAAACTTGATGTTTTGCGATAGGGGCTGCTTTCATATTTCTGCAGTGCAGTTGAAATGCTCTCTGTTGCAGGACTCGGTTGTCCTATTTTAGAAGTTGCAAAGAACTGAGCTAAATCTCAGGGTTTACAGTGAAGAACAACTCCATTATGCTAGCATTGCAGTAACTTTCTTCCTCCAGCAGAGGGTGGCATTGATTACTTTATGAAGATGTGGAGAAAAGTGAAACTTTCTTTCACTGTTCTAATTCAAAAACAAAACATATTAATCTGGTCTTTTTGAGCAAAAGTGATGAAATGATTGCATCCTGACCATCCACTGTTTTTGAGACTAAAACAATGTTTTATATTTTTAATCACCTTTGCCTTCACTCTCTTCTCTGGTTAACCCCCATTCCAAACTTAACTCTAGTTCATGTTGGCCAAGCCAGATCTGCTACTTGAGATTTTCTTTGGGCTCTATGCTGTCTGGAATATTTATGTATTTTCCAATTCTGGATACTTGTGGAAAGAAAACAGAGAGTGTTGAAAATATTTCGTTTTTTCTAGGATTTATTCCTTGTGCATTGGTCTAACGCAGTAGCTGTGCAGCGATCCATCTTTTCACAGTCATCTTTCACGTAAAACCTACATTAAAGCCTGACAGATGGAAGCTCTCCGATAAAATCATACACTTACAGGTGCTGGTCATAAAATTAGAATATCATGAAAAAGTAGATTGATTTCAGTAATTCCATTTAAAAAGTGAAACTTGTATATTATATTCATACATTACATACAAACTCATATATTTCAGATGTTTATTTTGTTTAATTTTGATGATTACAAATGACAACAAATGAAAATCTCAAATTCATCATATCAGAAAATTAGAATATTACTGAAGACCAATAAAAACAAAGGATTTATAGAAATGTTGGCCAACTGAAAAGTATGAACATGAAAAGTATGAGCATGTACAGCACTCAGTATTTAGTTGGGCCTCCTTTGGCCTGTATTACTGCAGCAATGCGGCGTGGCATGGAGTCGATCAGTCTGTGGCACTGCTCAGGTGTTATGATAGCCCAGGTTGCTCTAATAGTGGCTTTTAGCTCTTCTGAATTGTTGGGTCTGGTGTATTGCATCTTCTTCTTCACAATACCCCATAGATTTTCTATGGGGTTAAGGTCAGGAGAGTTTGCTGGCCAATTAAGAACAGGGATACCATGGTCCTTCAACCAGGTACTGGTAGCTTTGGCACTGTGTGCAGGTGCCAAGTCCTGTTGGAAAATGAAATCTGCATCTCCAAAAAGTTGGTCAGCTGCAGGAAGCATGAAGTGCTCTAAAACTTCCTGGTATGTGGCTGCGTTGATCCTGGACCTCAGAAAACACAATGGACCAACACCAGCAGATGACATGGCACCCCAAACCATCACTGACTGTGGAAACTTTACACTGGACTTCAAGCAACGTGGATGAAGTGCCTCTCTTCTTTTCCTCCAGACTCTGGGACCTTGATTTCCAAAGGAAATGCAAAATTTACTTTCATCAGAGAACATGACTTTGGACCACTCACCAGCAGTCCAGTCCTGTTTCTCTTTAGACGCTTCTGACGCTGTCTGTGGTTCAAGAGTGGCTTGACACAAGGAATGCGACAGCAGAAACCCATGTCTTTCATACGTCTGTGTGTGGTGGTTCTTGAAGCACTCACTCCAGCTGCAGTCCACTCTTTGTGAATCTCCCCCACATTTTTGAATGGGTTTTGTTTCACAATCCTCTCCAGGGTGCGGTTATCTCTCTTGCTTGTACACTTTTTTCGACCACATCTTTTCCTTCCCTTCGCCTCTCTATTAATGTGCTTGGACACTGAGCTCTGTGAACAGCCAGCCTCTTTAGCGATGACCTTTTGTGTCTTGCCCTCCTTGTGCAAGGTGTCGATGGTCGTCTTTTGGACAACTGTCAAGTCAGCAGTCTTCCCCATGATTGTGTAGCCTATAGAACTAGACTGAAAGACCATTTAAAGGCTTTTGCAGGTGGTTTGAGTTAATTAGCTGATTAGAGTGTGGCACCAGGGGCCATCAATTTTGAACCTTTTCACAATATTCTAATTTTCTGATATGATGAATTTGAGATTTTCATTTGTTGTCATTTGTAATCATCAAAATTAAACAAAATAAACATCTGAAATATATGAGTTTGTATGTAATGTATGAATATAATATACAAGTTTCACTTTTTAAATGGAATTACTGAAATCAATCTACTTTTTCATGATATTCTAATTTTATGACCAGCACCTGTATATTTTAGTTCTTCGTTAAATGTTTTGCAAAAATGATTTGAGATCTTTGTGTGTTGTTTTCTTTTGCCTAAGGAGGTGTAAGTTTTGGGTATAAATTTTTATAGGAACTTTGACCCCCTTTTTTTTTTCAGTAGATTAGCTCCTATTTGGTGCTTAGGGACGGTTTTTTGTCATAATTGAACCGATATGGTACCGAACCCCAATACTTGAAAATTGACAAAGTAGTCAATGTTTTTTTCTTTTCTCAGTACCATTCTAACATTATCTTAAACACCAAACTGTATTTCACATTATACAATTTATAGCTGTGAGAGACTTGGTGCACTTAGTTGCGTTATTTAAATGTCTGTTTGCTCTGATGAGAATATTTAGACTCGGCTCCATAAAGTGCATTAACTCAAAAGTCCTTTCCATCCACAATGCTAATTGCCCTCATCTTTTTTTAAAACGGTACAAATGCTTGCCCTACACTTTTCTATATCATCACCTCCATCAGAAAGGTCCATGCTGCATTGCTTTGCAACCCAGCTACAACTTTAGGAGTTTTTGGTGTTTATATTTAAAAACAGAACCATGCAGAGTACATCCTTTCACTTTCCATTTGAAGTTGTAAGCGAACACAGGCCGGACTCTGGATCCATTCATTTTTTTGTTCTAGCATCCTTTCCCTCAAGCATTCTTCATGCTGTGCTTAAGAATGATATTACAAATGTTCATTTGTAATATCACAAATAAATACATTTATTTAAAGGGGTTCTTTTTAAGCTGCATATCAGTTAATCGGATAAAACAAAGTTTAATCCTATAAACTATGAATCTACATATGATTATGAGTCATTTATGTATATGTCCCTGGCCATAATGCATTCAGGTACTGAAGCATTGTTACCGTTTGATTTGGCCAGTAACTTGAAAACTATGGAATTTGGCAATAGGAAAGAAGTTTCTTTAAATTTCAGTTTGTTATAGCGTTGATGGTCACGTTTTCTCAGTGAAGCCTCAAATTTTCTGACATTTTTTCTGAAGGGGAGGGTCCAGAATTTATTTCTGTTCTATCTAACGGAAAATCCTTTGGTTTGTTTGGGTCCGGCTTCACAGAGCTAGGCAGTTGTTTCCTCATACCAGTTGGACCTCGGCATAAATTTGCTGGGGCGTCCACTCCTGATTTCTCACCATGTCATGGTGAATTCCACATAGTGTGGATCTGGCTTGGAGCAGCAACAGTTGCTCCTCTTAGGTCATTGCTGATGTTTTTCCCTCTTGGCATTGGGACACATGGTAACTCTCAAACAATACTGCCGAACTTCTGCTTTTAGGATAATTAAAACAGATTGATTAGAATACTACCTTATATGTGGAGCTAAACTCTTAACTGCCAGTAATACCCTCAAAAACCCAAATTGAAGGACGCATTGCTTCCTTATGAAAAGTTTATCATTGTTTAACCTTGTTGAAGCAAATCAGCAGCATAGTTCCATGTTTAAATGAGGTTGTAGTATCTAGGGGGAAAAAATCAAGTCCTTGGTCACAGCTGAGGAGTTGAATTAACCGCGGTGATCTGCTTACTGATATTTTGGAAGTGTTGCTACATTCACTCATGTCCTCTCTGATCACTTTGCAAAGTCAAAATGTTGTTTATTGTTTGTCTAATCTTACTTTATGTAACAGGAGCATGCAGCCACATTAGTTCCATTCCTGCTTTTTTATATGCAGTTGTTTTTCACTCTAACCCCCTCCATGACCTTATAAAGTGGATTAGCTTCTGACAAGAACCCTCATAAATGTATAAAAACAAATCACACTCCCGGGTGTAATGTCGGATCAGTTTGCTAATGCAAGCCGTGTCCTTGCAGCGTTCTGGATTTAAATTTGACCCTTAATAATTTGTTACAGGCTCCCCTCCCCACCCTCCTTGTCCAGTGATATTTACTGTTTTTTAACTGAGATGTAAATTTAATAAAACAGATTTCTGCCTATGCATGAAGAGAAATGCTTGGCCCCTGCGGTGCATGAGCTAAAGCACTTTAGCTCTTTGGCTTTAGAGTGTTTAATAAGTCAGCAGGGAGCAGAAACCTTCCAGCAGTGAGCGGGATCATTCTTCACTGTAAATCTAATCGTAACAGGAGTACGCCGCTCGCTATTTGCACAGTTAGTCGGTTTGAGTTTCTTCTGCTCCGAATGTGATTTAGAAGAAAAGTAACATTTTCTGCTTATGAATAAGGGTTGACAATAACTATTTATGGAGCAGTTTAAACCATCTTTCAAAAGAGAACAGCATGCACATCTAGTTACATCGGTAAGGCCATTGCTTTTCTTAATTTCAGCTCTCTGTTGGTGGTAGTCTGCACTTCCACAAGTTAAATGAGTTTTCTGTGGTGCAAATGATGGAAACAAAAGTAAATGGTGGTCTCATAACATACTAGTCAGAATCCACTGAAGTGATCAAACGTTGGTCTATTATAATGCTGATCTTATAATTCTGTAATTATGTGTTGAATCTGACTGCTGCCCATCAGATCGCTCCTGTTTTAAAGCCAACCGTTTTATTTTCCCTCCGCAGCAGAAGTTTGTGCGCTGCTCCGTGCGAGCGGAAGTGCGACACTTAAGGAAAGTTCTTTGTCAGAGATTAAATGTGGAAAAACACCAGGTGAGTCAATAAGCGCTATTATTACATTTAAATTACATTTGTTTTTCAGTCTTAGAGCAACTTTAGCCAAGTGGAACAGAGTTGAGAAATACAAACACATTCTTATACTCTTAAGTAGATTTTTGTGCTATTTTCTGTTGCTTTTTTGTTTATTTTGTATTAATAAGTCAACCCTTTACAGGGTAAGTAACCATATAAAGGATTGTTTTAGACTATCCTTTTTTCTTTCTTTCAAATAAATAGATGTTAGCTGTTATTAATGAAAATGAACTCCAGATGGTCTGCGTTTCCGAAACTATCCCCGGTTAACTGGTTGCAACAAAGCCTTTGCCTCAGTCTGCCTCCATCTGTTCGTTTTAGTAGCTGACAGTAATGTAGCCAAAGTTATGATTTCCTCTTCAGCAGCAGTTTTTAGAGTGGTTGTATCTGCGCCACACACAAAGCAGGCTAAAAGTGTGTTTGAAATAAAGGCACCAGATCCAGGAACTGGGAGAATTTACCAAACCAATTTTATTATATATTATTTATTCTACCCAGCATAGAAATCCTCCCTACAACGTGTTCCTGATGCAGGAAGCTGTTGATTTTTGGTGAACAGAGGTTTATAGGAGGAGTTTTTAAGTGAACAGGTGCAAAAAAAGTCTTACTGGTTTAATATTTACAAAATGTTTATTCTCCATGCATTTTGTGGTTTAAAATCTTTAACTGTTAATCAGCAAAACAATGTTTTGTGTGTTTTGGCATTTGCAGAACAAAGAATATTTGTAAAAAATCTGCTAATTTTAATTAATATTAGTAAATACATTAAATTAAGCACTCATTACTAACTTTGTCTACATTTAATCTGCAAATGATGATCTATTAACACAGTTTTTTGAAGGTTCATATTAAATTAAAACCTACTCAACATTCGGCTTTATTAAAAAGTAAAATTCTGGATTTTCTTTTAGGCTCCTCCATTGAGATTTATTTCTATAGAGTCAAACTGCCCTGTCACATGGCACACCTGAAACACCATTAAAGGACAGAAACAAAAAAAGGTCCCTCTGTTACCAGATCATCTGTAGCTTAAACTTTGATCATCACTGCTTTTATATTTGTGGCTGAACAATCTCTCAAGTTTGTCATAACTTCAGCAGAGGGAGCTAGCGCTCTCTATTGGTAGATTTATCTTGCAGGAGCACAAACTGCCGTCATATTTTCAGCTTGCAGCAATAATAACATGCTCTAAACCTCATGTGATTTTTGTTCTCTGAAGCTCTGTAAAATACTACCTAGGTTTCATGATGTCTATGTAGGCACATTTTCAAAGACACTGGCTTCTTTTTGATCACTTTTAAGCCTTTTTATATCAGTTGTCTTTAGACCTTTATTTTTGAAAGGTGTTTTTTTTTTGTTTTATTTATTTTTTTACAGTAGGTGATCCAGGTAAAGAGAGCCTTTACTAGCTGGTAGCAACAAAAGCTTTGCCTTAATCTCTGCTTTGTACAAGTAAATGTGTAACTGGTAAGAACGGCTGATCAACACCTCTGCATGAGTTTTTAGTGATTGACTTTTGCAGAGAAAAGATCACTTCCGGAAAGGTTTGTTACCATGAACCAATGCGAGGATACATGAACATTGCCTTAATGCTGCACTGTTGCAGCATTTTTCTGTTCACACACAAGAATCCGTCTTGTTCCGCTCCTGTCTTAACCGCTCGGGAAGCGACCCAAAACAAGCTGGCCGATTGCAGTATTATGGTTTAGGCATAGAGCTGTGAAGAAAGCCAGAGGTGCCAGACCCGCAGCCGGACCAAAATAAACATGGCAGCACAGGAGGACACACGCATAGCTGCTGCTATCACAGATGGTCTGTCAGAACTCATCATTTCATCTTTGAAAGAGGAACATCAAGAACAGCTTTGTGCTTTATTTGTTCCATCTGCCGAAAAGTACTTGATAACACTTTGGATACAGAGACGGTCTTTTTTTTTTTTTTGCTGGTTTCCTTCTATTGAAGATAAAAACTGATTAATTTCAAAATAACAAATTGAAAGTACTTTTATGTTTAGGTTTCCTGCTAAAGAGAGCCGTGTGTGTGTTGGTGCTCGACTGCACTCTTCTGCTCAGAGATCTCAGCCCGTTTCTGTTGGAGCCCCTCTCCCAGTCTGGGGGTCCCTGCTTTGTGGGTTCCATTTACCACAGGAACCACTTTGTTCCTTCATCTTCCACATCCTCTCCGCTTCTTCTGTTTTTTTGCTCAAGCTTCTCATGTTCCTTCTTCCTCATATTACTCTCATTAGGTATTGCTGCGTCCATCACTAACCCTATCTTCCTCAGCTTGTCCATCACTACCATGTCTGGTTGGCTTTCCCTCACCAGTTTATCTGTCTGTGTCTGAAAGTCCCGTCCCATTTCGACGTTGGAGCTTCCAGGCCTCACTCTGCACAGACATTCCTGTATACTTAGCCAGCCGCTTGGTCACCGTGCTCCATGTATGCCCTATCTGCTTGCATTTTGCATCCTGCTGTTATGCATTAGATTCTCTCGTAGGAATCTTGTGCATTTTCCTGTGCTGTCACGATGGATGCCTCTGCTGTTCTTTCAATCCATCCACTGATACCCTGTTCCTTTTTTAATGTATTTATAACCCTATTTTGATCTTCCTGCATACTTTCCCCATGTTAGCAGAGGTTAAAATGTTTGATTGATTGAAAATGTCATCAACTCATTTAGTAATCAAAGCCTCATTAACTGTAGAATGCAGTCTCTAAAACCAGTAATTTGCATTAAAAAACACAGAGAACAGTAGTCAACTATACAAAAAGTAGATGCAGACTGGTTAACAGCAGGCGCTCTAACCCCAGGCTCACACCGACTCCGGTCTTACCGTTGTGGTGCGGTGGGTGCGGCGCCGCAGTGATTCCAAGTCAATAAAAAGACGTAAACCTCTCTCACCAGCTGCTGAGCTGTCCGGCTGCGGTTACCGAGACACTCCGGCGCTGCAGAAAATTCCGCAAGAAAGCTATCCTTGCGGCGTGCCGGAGCCCTCCGCAACAAGCTCTCGCAAATATCCTTATTTGGGCCGTGTTATCGCGTGAAGTTACGTGAACTCAAGTTAACTTCTGTTAAATCTCCGGACCTGTTGCCGGAGCCGCAGAGCCGCACCGCACCGTAGTCAAAAGGGCGGTGTGAGAGGGGGTGTGCGGGAGTTGCGGTCTCCGTCGGCTCGGTAACCGCACCGTAGCCAGTGTGAGCAAGGGGTAAAAGAGCTTCAGTAACTGACCGTCTATGTTTTTAGATACCCGGGGATCAAATCTGTGTAAAGTATCAGGATGAAAATCAATTCATAGCTGAAAAACTTATCTTTATATTACGATGTAATGAATGTGAGTCTGGTTCAGCTTGAGGTTTCTTCCTTTTTAAAGGGAGTTTTCCTCTCCACTGTCACTTCATGCATGCTTGGTTTGAGGGATAGCTGTAGAGTTAAGGACGAAATGAAGCAAAAATCATCTCTTTAGGCTAATCCAGGAGGAGCATGTCTAGCAAATCATTGACTGATGGATTCAACTGGTTTTCTTAACCAATCTGACAGGATTGTCTCTGTAAAGTGTGTTGAGATGACGCTTGTTGTTAATTGGCGCTATATGAATAAACTACATTTCATGTCAATGAATGTAATGAAGGGGAACCTTTTCAATCTCAATGGAACATTCTTTTTCAACAGAATAACAGGTGTTAGCTAAACAACTAAAGATAGATAAAAATGAATACACCTAATATAACAATATTTAAGGTCGTATGAGGTATTATTTTTTTATTGTGCAAATAATCCAGAAATCTAAAATGAGCAATAAAAAAAAACGCAAACAACAGTTTCATTGTTGATATTTTTAGTGACCTTTATGAGAACTCTTCTTGGCGATGGCTAGAGCAAAATTCTATATTTGCTTTTTACTGATTTATTGGATAAATGATGTTCAGTTTCTTTATAACTTACCCAAAGGTTTAATTTTATACTGCGTTGCTGTCATCAATGAAAACAATCAAGTTGAATTAGACATCTGTTGTTTGATTTTTTTTTTTTTTTTTTATTTATTTTTTTTTTATTGTTTTGTCTCATTTTACTTTTATTTCAGATTTTATTTCTGTTTCTTTTTAATCATACCCTAATTAAACACCTGCTTATGTTTCAAAATCTTATTTACTAAAATAAACAAACACTAAATTAAAGATTAAATCATAAAATCTCTTCATCTTTAGGTAATTTGAATACAAGTCAGTCAGACCAAAACCTCAACAGCAACCAGCAGCTGTAAGGTGAACAGAAATAAAGAAACTGATGATGATAACTTGAGGTTTTTTCTTTTGTTACGCAAAGTGTTTTAAACCACAGGAGTTATTTCTAAGTGGATTAAGCAGAAAGCAGCTAAATTATGGTTAGTCCATTTCAGCACACAGATGCTGATGGGAATGGGTATTAGTATGTTGTCATGGAAACCTCTTAGGGAACCTTGAAAGCACTTCTTTAGTGTCTGAGTTTTTTGGGAGGGGGTCTAGGAATTAGGAAGTCTGTGAACGTTTGAACTGTAAAGGTAGCTTCCAGAGTTCAAAGAACAAAATGTTTTATTGCAGTCCTGTTTTAAGACTTTGTGCAGGTTTTTCTGGATTCATATTATGGGCTCACATAGGGTCCAAGAAATATGTAGTGGGTGCTGCGCTCCGGTGGAAGGGGCCTATGAAGAAGTCTTGGTAGATCTGCACTTTAGTTTTGGAAGAATAAAATGTTCTGACCGGCTTGAAATTTATTCCTCTTGTTCTGCAGCCTCTTACAAACTATAAATCTTAAATGCATCAATTTTTGACCTTGGAACGCAGCTCATCCTTACTTGGGTCAGCTGATGCAGGGTTGACTTAATGGACCTGTTAAAAAAAACAAAACAATTTGAAATCAACACTTCAATTGTACCCTCAAGTTTTAAAACTGTATATTTAGACACCTTAATGAAGATATGAGTTTGGGGTAACATAAGGACTAAAAAATGCCAGCATTATGTTGAGGCCACGCCTGAACAAGACAAGTCATTGCATTTGGACAAGAAAGGATTCTGTATATTAAAGTGAGCGAAATCGTTACCTTATTTCTTTCTGAAATTAAGATTTTCTGACTGACTTCCACTTGATGAAAAGCAGAAACCAACAGTCAAAATATTCCGGCTAATTATGTGAAATCAGACACACAAAGTGAAACTTGTGATCAGATCCCTCCTTGAAAATATTTTCCTTTCTAATTGCTCTTCGTCTGTCTGTGTGGTCCCTCTCTGCAGGTCCAGATGTTCTTTAATAACGAGTCTTTGCCTGATCACATGACCATGAAACGGTTATGGCTTTCACACTGGTTTGGCAAGGTAGAGTACAGCTAACACCAGCTGCAGCACCAACAACTGTCAGAGGCCTTCACACTGGGGCTTTTTTATTCTGTCAGCATGAAGATATCAGCTTAAGTTTTAGCAAAACCTCAGAATGTACATTCATAAAAACTAATTTGAGTAAAAATATAAATTTAATCCATATTGGAATGACTTTTCAAGTCATTTGTATGATGACTACATGCAGGTCATGGGTAGATGAATAGAATGAAGCTATTTTTAATTCTGTCTTGTTTCTCCCTCCAGGCTCAGCCGTTAGTTCTTCACTACACCATCAAGGACAAAAGGACCAGATAGGATTTGATTTCATTTGGCTGTAAATATTTTGTACCATACATATTCTATTTTAATAGTGTTTGTGTATATAAACTTATTTTCCTTGTTTTGTATTTTTGAAAATAAATTTGAAATTGAAAGAAAAAAAGCAAGATTTTTGTGGTTTATCACTCAGGTTAAGTGTTTCAATATCGACCTAAACAGGAAATCTAATGATCCAGTTGATCAGTTTTGTAGTTGCAGATCGTACCGTGATATTTTTTAGTCTTTGTCACCTTTTTTTTCTTCCAGTGGGTTTACTCAAAATTATAACTAGACATGCATCACAACACGAGTCCATAATGATCAGATTATGGCGTAAATCTGGTCTTCGTGGTCTTATGGTTTCCGCAATTACAGGAAATACTGCTTTCTCTAAACTTGTCCAGCAGTTAGTCACTGACATCTAGGGCTTGGTTATTTTACTAATTGATTCATTCAATTAATATTTCTTTATAAACGATTTAATGGTTACTGCACATATTTAATAAATGTTAAAATATGTGTACACGCAGTTTATATTTTAGAGCAGGCATCCCCAAAGTCGGTCCTCGAGGCCTGCTGTCCTGCAGGTTTTAGAAGTTTCCTTGCTCCAGCACAGCTGATTTTCATTGATAGCTGATTAACAGGCTTTTGCTGAACTACAATCATCAGAATCAGCTGTGCTAAAGCAGAGAAACCTCTAAAACCTGCAGGACAGCGGCCCTCGAGGACCGACTTTGGGGATGCCTGTTTTAGATTCTGTACCATATTCTAGGTAACGATTCGAGTGCCAAATTAGTTGAGGATTATTGATAACTTACGATTAATCGTTCCAGCCATACTGACAGCCTCTATAGGGAAGCTAAGCCAAAAGTTTATAGCTGAAGCTAGCTGAGAAGCGGGTAACATCCGAGTAGAACTATAGTTGAAGGAAAAGGTGCAAGAAGGATGGCTGGGGGGGGGGAAACCCATTCAAAACTTTGAGGTAGATTCACACGGTGTAAACCTAGCAGGAGATGGCGCAGTGAGCCACCGAACAGACGTATTGAGGACATCAATTGTGTTCAGCCCCTTCTAAACCACAGAAAAAAAAGAAAGTGAACTCTAGCTCATTGATTTAAAAGCCTCTTAACAGATGAAAGTAGATTCTGGTTCTTTATATGTCAACCTCCCCGAATCTGAAGGAAGAGTGAAACTTAGCAGTAAGCCATGATCATTCAAATGAATGGAAACACCTGGAATAAGTGTCTAATAAATATAGAACTAATGTAGCTATCATGGGTTTAACCAAGATACAGTTTCAATTAAACCTTAGAAACCTTAAGTTAAACACTTTAATTGCAAGAAAAAACATGCTGTACGTTACTTGCTACAAAAATGTAAAAATAAATCAACCGTTTTTGTAAAAAATTATATGCTGATTTTTTTTTTTTTTTTTTTTTATTCAGGTTTAGGTCAGTTCTGGACCAGCTGTCATGCTGCTTGTTTTTGCAAATAACCATTATTATTTAAATGCTTTTAGTGACTAAAGTGGTGAGAAAATATTTTGGTATTTTGTTTTTGAGAAAAGCTCACAGAGTTCAGACATCTTTTTTTTAACCACCGACATTTCAATCGTACATTTTTTTTTTTACAGCCTATTATTAGAGAAATATTTGTATGAATAGATCGTTATATTTAAATGTTAAATACAGAATTTCATGAATTTATGTTTCTGCAGAAAGTTTTTTTATTGGAAAATGATCCTCTGAATGTGTCCCATCTTGATAGTTGCCCATTTTTCACTCTACGGCTCTGGTTATATAAGAACAAAAGAAATAGTCTATTAAGATGAAAAAAAGAATTATGTTTTGATCTTTTTTAGGTGCTTTTCCTTTTGCTACAGTCGATTGTTTCATCAGTATGTGTTTTGGTTATTTTAAGGTGTCTCAGAAAACCTGCAGTGCTTTTTCCATTAGTATTTCCCAAGTCCTCTTAACTATTTGCTTTTCCTACTTTCTCAAAAATGTGCTACATTAATCTTGTCAATTGCAAATTTGTGAATTGTGCACTTCCTGTGTTCTTTCACTGAAAAACAGACACCAATCCTGTCAAACCACATTTACAGTTGCCTTCCATGCTTTAAATTTTTTCATTCAAAATTACCTCAGTTGAAGAAATATTTGTTTAAAATCAGCAATAGAATCCACCCTATCAAAACGGCAAATATGCTCACAGAGCCTCCAGTGATTTATGTTTTATCCTTCCCTATATGTAAAGAATATGTGCAGCTAATTTAAACTAACATCAAATCAAGAGGTTTGCAGTACATTTCCATGCACTGACACCGATCAACATGGTTACTTTTCAGATTCCTTTCTTTTGGGTTGTTAACATGATGGACATTTCCTAAAGAGGGTCTACATTAAACAGTAGAATCAGGGTCGTTCAGATGTTTTGTCTCAGAAAAAGAAAAAAAAACTTGAATATTCAGCAGCTTTGTTGCATATATGTGAAATGATTTAAAAGCTGTTCCAGGGCAGGTATAGATTTTTTTACCTTGACATTGTTGGTTATCAGAAACCTTCAGAGTACAGCGAAGAGCAGCAGTTTATCATAAAAAGCACTAAGCACAACTTCCAAATAACAAAAAAAAAAATAAAAAAAATAAAATAAAATAGTTTAAATGATGTCCTCTGGGTCTCTTGCTAAAAAGAGAAGTACCCCAAAATGAGCACTAGGTGGCAGACTTTGAGCTCTTCAGATAACCTCTGGTGCATGCGATCTTCTCCAGAGCTTTATATGGCCTGATGATAAATGTGAAATGGTTTCAGGTCTTTACTCTTAATTTGAAAGCACTCTGCGTGATTTTCTGAGATTTTTTTCCTGAGCAACTTGAAATTAATCACGCTGTTTGTAGACATTTGACAATTGATTTTTAAAAAAAGAAAAGATCAGCCACTTCGGTGAGTAAATTGGCCTTGGTAAACAAAATAGGTCTAGATATATTATTTTTAATCTATGCTTAAACTTGATTATTGCAACACAATAATGCGATGTGTTCACTTTCAATAGAAAAGCAAAGAGTTGAAAATGTTATATTATTAAATAGCCGCTGCGCTGAGCATATTCAGGGCCTTTATATAGAGATGAATGCTGACAATTCTCCACAAACTCTTTTCTAATAGGAAACCATAAATAAATAAATAAATAAATACATAATGAACATAAACCTTAAAAATATATATTTTTTTTTGTTTTTTTTTTTTTAGAAAGCACTTGAAGCGAAAACGAATTCACTCAGATTTATAGTGCAACCCTGTTATATGGAATAAACGAAAAAAGTGCATAAAAAGGAAATAAATCCAGCATATATAGCCTATATAGTACTTTGAATATTTACACTCTTTTAAAAAATATAAATGTATTTTCATACATTTTAATTTTTAAAGATTTGTTTTTTTCAATATGTTGCTTAAACAACTCTGTCCTCATTGTTTTTTTTTTTTTTTTGTCACTTTTACTTCCCTTGCCAATCCACAATTAAACCCCAGGCCTACTTGACTTTTCAACCTCTTAGATTACAGCCGATTGCTCCTATTGTGATCAGCAGTCTGTTCCAGACTACACTGACATAAAAGAAAAGAAAAATAAAGGGAAAACTTTGCCTCACAATCTATTACTAATATTATTCTTATTATTTTAGGATATTTATTTTTCCTTTTTTTTGCAGGTCACTTCTTATATTTCGTTTGATTTAATTCATTAGAAATATATGGTGCAGCAACACAATAAAACATGTGGTTCTGAAGAATAGCCTATAGAAATATATAAAAATGCATGAACAAAAAAAAAGAAAAGGTTTGGGCATTTTTGTCTTAAATCATCAGGAAAAAAATAATATTTATTTATGTATCTGAAACATTTTGTCAGTAAAAACTAATATAATCCATCTCCCCCTACACACACGCTCACACACACACACACTAAACCTTTGATCAGCTCCAAAACTGTTGCAAATGGTCATCCAGCAGCAGCAGTGACTCTGATTTGGCTTTTATTCATTAGGCTCCTCACACGAACCCATTTGCTATTCATGGCCAACTTTGTCTCTTTTTTCCCCCTGCCTCTTTCCAAACAAAACTAGTTTAAGAGTGGCAGATGCGTGGCCATTATTGCCCACGGCTCAGTGGAAGCTGTTTTATTTGAGGCAAAGGCGGGTTAACCTAATCAATCATGTCGACCAGTTGTGTTAAAGACGATTCATAAAGAAGGAGGAAGCAAACATATGGCGCAGGAGCTGGAGGAAAGCTTTTCTTAACACCACGGGCAGACTGGGACCTTATTGTGACAAGATGCATTCAAAGCCCACCCAAATAATGGGAATAAAGGCGGCGGACGGCTGCTAATTGAACACACGGCACTTTAAAGCTGAAAGACAGGGGTCAGAGAAAGCAAAAGTCACATTTTTTAGCGAGAGACGCAGATTTAAATTTCTCCCATCTGTCTGAGGTGAATCCTTACAAGTTTTCATTATCTAAAAGAATTTATCAATTATAAATTAATATAAAAAATATCTACATATTTTACTATCAATTTCCTGTGGTGCAATAAGACATCCAGTAGCACTGAAAGCTGATTGAAATACAATATAACCTTTATTTACATAGATGCTGATTAAATAGAACGTTACAATAAAATTATCGCATTGGAGGATTGATCTATATACAGAGCAGAGAGCGCGTAAAAGGTTGGTGCAGTTTGCGCCTCCAGGAGGCCTGCATGCTTGCAGAGACATTTTTCTCTCATGGTTAAAAAATATGGACAGATCTATGTGCGACTTTAAATCTGATCGAATAAAGGAGTGGGGCTTATCCAAAAAATGTTGCCAGATCTTAGATTTTTGACTGGACAATGGAAATGAATGCTGTATAAAACAGTAATTGCACAACGTTTTTTATTTTTCCTCTAAAACCGCCAGAAAATGTGTTAAAATATTGTCCTAGTCTACTTGAAATAAAACAAAATATTCCCCCAAAATGTGCTGAAACTTAAACGGATGTAGGGATTGGTTATAATAAATTAAAACGAAGAAATAAAAATAGGAAAAATGATCCTGATTGTTCATATATGTGTATACTCTCCTTTTTTTTTATCAATATCCGTGCAAAAGTTTGGGAAGAAAAATGTCCCTCTTCTATTTATTTTGTGTGTGTATGAAAATCCCAGTCCTTCTCGGCTGTTAATCGTCCACCTCAATCTCCTCATCATCCTCTGAGAACTCATCAGTGGTTTGGTCTCTGGATGAGGAGGGGGACTGTGGGAAGGCTCGGTGTCCTTGGGAGGTCGGGGAGACGCTGGGGGACCGGGCCCCGGGGCCTCCACCCTGCGCGTCCTCGATGCTTTCCATGCTTACGAGCTTCTGCAGCGTCTGAGGCGTGATTTTCTTCAGCGACTCCACGTCCGCCTTCATCTCCTCCAGGTCCCTCTTGAGCTTGGCCCTGCGGTTCTGGAACCAGGTGATGACCTGCGCATTGGACAGTCCCAGCTGCTGCGCGATTTGGTCACGGTCGGCCGGAGAGAGGTACTTCTGGTAGAGGAACCGCTTCTCCAGCTCGTAGATCTGATGGTTGGTGAAGGCTGTCCGCGACTTTCTCCTCTTCTTCGAAGTCTGCCGCTGACCGAAGTTCAGGTGTTCCCGACCTTAATGAGGGGAGGACATAGGAGAAGGATGAAAAATCTGACCTCTGAAATAAAATCAACTTTAATTCCTCTTAAGTGTTTTTTTTTTATTTTGCAAACTTTAATATGAACCTTACATATATATGACTTTAAAGCATTTTAGAATACACTAACATGCTGTCAAATGCAAAAGAAAACTAATTGCATAATAAAGAATTTAATTTTAGGCCAGAAAACAAGCCTAACAATGAAAAATTCTGTTTACTTTTACTTAATTTGAATATTTCAACCATGTTTATCTTTCACCCAATCAACGCAGCGCTGCAGGCCAGACCGATTTCCTTAATATTTGACTAAATGTTTTCATTTGTCTCAGTCTGGTTTTACCCAAATATGTCTGTTTATCATGAAGCCACATTTCTTTATCCTTTTTTTTTTATCCCCACACATTCCCATGCAGATGTCCTGGCATTTCCTTGTTACGCATCAAAACAACCCTCCTGTCATTTTAAACCAAACTTTTAGGGAAAATATTTGAATCCATAAAGTGTACCTTCTGCTGCCTGGATGACGCTGACTTCCAGACCCTTGAATGTTTTGCTGGCCAGCTCCTCCAGCGCGCACAGCGGTGAGGACGGAGTGCTGATCCCGTTCCTCGCCGCGCTGGAGCCCGTGACTTTTTCCAGCGCCCGCGGCGGACAGATGCTGGCCACGGACTTCTTCACGGATGGTTTGTTGAGGATATCCTCGATGCTGAACGGCGTCAGCGGCTTGTTGGAGTTAGCCGGAGGCGGCAGCTGGTCCAGCGGAGCGCGCCTCCGCTCCTCGCCGCCGGACTGCAGCACAGACCCTGCCTTCATGTCTTTACTGGAGGTCATCGCAGTCCCGCAGATATAGCTGCTCTCAGGATTTAAAATAAAAGTTGATTATTTCATTCAAATAGATTTAAAACGTCCACAGGCGTTTCCTGTGGAGCTCGGGGCTCCTCTAGACCTCCGCTGTACTTTAGCGCTTCGAGTCCAAGGCTGTAAACTCAGCTCGCCTGAGAGCCTTCCTCCAAAATAACCATGCTTCGGGCGTAGTTGCAGAGGCAGCCGCACAGTATCCCCCTCAGAGCGTCCCGGTTCATCTGCCAAACTCCATGCGGGTCTTTAGAAAGCGGCTGACTGGAGGTTGTGAAGCCCTGAAAGGGGAGAAGGGAGTAAAAAAGCTTCCAGGCACCAAGAAAAGGAAAGTGACTGCTAACGACTTATTGTTGATTGGGCGAAGTTCAATTAGAGAAACACTACACCAGTTGGTGACCCGCTGCTGCGTCTTAAAGGGCCGGAGCAGAATAACTAATTGGACGTGGGGAATAGGAGGAGTCTGGTGTACTGCCTTGAAATGTTTATGCATCTGTTTCCCTCTGCTGCTGTAGAAAGTCAGAGCCGATGGTGGAATCAAAGCAGGTTTGCATCATGGAAAAAGGATTTCAACCAAAACAAGCTTCACATGTTTGTCATATTCATGCGTAACGGAGCGTTGTGCGTAAAGTGCGAATATGGCACCCTGTTGCGCATGATAAAAGCAATTTAGTGTAACTAAATATTTACTGATAATGATTCATTATGGCAAGAAAAAAAACTTTTAATCTGAGAATAAAGATAAAAATGTATGGTTGTAGGTTTAAACTGTTTTGTCTTTAAGGTGCAAGGTGTAATCGCATAAAAAAATAATAGGGCGGTAAATATCCAAACTAAATTAAACGAATATGAATAATAATAATAATAAAAAAACATTTTATTTTCGTTCTTTGCCCTTTTATTTTCGTTTTTTTTTCTTTTGTGATCTGTTCTTTTTTTCCTGGTATTTCGGCCATGCCCGTCTGTCTCCGCAGGTGGAATCCAGTGGAACGCAATATGCGCTGCCGTGAAATAAGCGAGTAATAAAGGTGACGCCGGGCTGCGGGTTTCAGTCTGATAAGGGAGACAACATTTTCTGCACCGATGTCTAACACGTTCAGAAAGGAAGAGAATGAGAAGAAGAGAAGATTTTGGACGCATTGGAAAAAATCGGCAGGTAGGCTATGTCTATTCGGAGGGAGCGCACCTTGTTTTATTCTAAACGTATTTGATTTTTAACCTACTGTTGGTTTTAGGTTCGTTTTAATAAAGATTTTCTGCAAAAGATGCGAGGAAGGGCTTTATGCAGACAAGAAATTAAAGGTACCATAAATAAACATTTTCTTTTTAGGTCAACACCTTATAAATACATTTGTGGAACGAAATACATTAAATTTCTTTTTTTTAATGTTTGAACAGTTGAATTATATTCTTTCAAACGTTAATTTGAAAGGATATAATATAAGAACATAATCTTGTTTTTATTTTAAAGGCTGCAGCGTGGAGCCTGCTGCTCATGGAGCCACTGCGGAGAGTCTTGTGCCAACAGCAGCATATGGTGACATTGGTTTAGGGACGGAGTTGTAAAACAGCAGGAAATTCTATTATCAGCCGTGGAGGTCCACCCTCTGAGGCTGCTTTGAATCCATATTTCTCCATAACGAGCAGGAGCTCGCAGGGATAAATCCAGTTAGAGGGAATTTGGAGAGAAACGCGCATCGTTTTGGAGAAAGTTCCGGGAGAATCAAATGATGTTAATATCAGAGTGAAGGTAATTTTATTGGACATTTTTTTGACTTGAATTTGAAATCAGGATAAACTCGAAGGTATATGCCAGGATATATCTTTCATGCTTGAATAAATAAAATCCCCGATTGAGATGAACAGATTTATTTTTGTCTCGACATTTCTCCAAAATGTTGGTTTATTTTAGTTTATTTTTTATTAAACATCCAGATATAATTTATGGAAACCTGCATTTTGCAGTAAAGATATTATACGTTTATTGAGTGGGAAAAAAGATATATTCCAAAAAAGAAACCTGCTCTGTGTTCACCGATTTTAAATATTCTTTTTTTTTTAACCTTTCACCTTTTACATTTGATAGGAAACTGCGCGCTTTTCCTCACCTTTTGGTTTAATTTGAACGTTAATTAGGTGCAGAAAAATTGACATCATCAGTCACAAGCTGTTGGCGGATTTAATTGGGTGCTTTTACCTCCCATCAGAGCGGCCTCCTTGCGTTAAAATGTGACGTCCGCTCACCTCACAACAGTCTGTTTGGGTTTTATTCTCTCTGTTGCGGTGATTCATTAGAGAAGCCTATAATGTTTGAACTTCCATTTTTTTTCTGAATTATAAATTTGCACCACTTCATTAGTAAATGCGCCAAAACGGCCATATTTATTATTAGATATTTTGTGTCCCACAGCTCGGGAAAAATCTAACCACCCATAAAAAAGCCTTAATCGCTTTAGCAAACAAATCTATATAGCCTAATGCAAAGCAATATTAGGATATGAGGTATTCTGATAATCTTATTTAGTCAATTTCAATATATGGTGTCAGATACAGCAAGTGCGATTATAATCTTAAGCAGATAAACTGCTTTACGCAGCCCCAGCTCATCATTCCACATGACATGTCCCCCTTATCGTTAAAGGTGGGACTCCTATCTTGATGTTCATAAAAACAAAACGATTAGACCGCAGCAGAGGAGTGCTGCCATTCATAACCCAAATAAAATGATAATTTTTAAAGAATTGCCTTCTATTCGAAAATCTAAAAAGAGAAACTACAGCACATCCGATCTATCTATCTATCTATCTATCTATCTATCTATCTATCTATCTATCTATCTATCTATCTATCTATCTATCTATCTATCTATCTATCTATCTATCTATCTATCTATCTATCTATCTATCTATCTATCTATCTATCTATCTATCTATCTATCTATCTATCTATCTATCTATCTATCTATCTATCTATCTATCTATCTATCTATCTATCATCTATCTATCTATCTATCTATCTATCATTAGAGGAGCTTTCACTAATGTACAGGAGTGCAGCCCTCTCAGTGCTGCATGCTGCCCTGGTTGATTTAAGCGGCCTGTTTCCACTGTGAAACCTACAGAGCTGCAGGCGGGGAGCCTGATGGAGGAGGAGGCTCTACAGTGGCCTCATATTATCTAATAAACTACAATTCACACCTTGGTTAACAAAAAAGAGTGGACTGCAGCTTTCATTTTTAATCTGCATAAAAAAAATAAAGTAAAACCATGATTATCTTTAATTTGGCCTTTTCTGTGCCCATAGATGGCTGAATGTGTCTCAAAACAGATTTAGTGACACATCTTTTTAAATTGATGTTAAGTACATGGTTTTAAATTCAATCTTTTATTCATGAAAAAAATTGAAAAATTAAAAAGTATGAAGATATTTACAGAAAAAAAAGTCCTATTTAAAAAGCGTTTTTTCAAAGTGGAACCAAAGTCTAATTCCTTGTTTGTGTTAGCAGACGTGGTGACTGACTCTGACACTGAAAGGTTTTCAATGTCCCACTCTATGTCCTGCACTCTCTTTTAACACAATGCCTTCTGGACAGTGGTGGGAAGAGTACACAAAAATTGTACCCAAGTAAGAGTAACATCACTTTATCATATTTTTACTATGGTAAGAGTAAAGGAAGCCTTTTAATTATTAAAGTAAAACGTATTTGGTAAAAAGGTTACTCAAGTAGGCCCTGATGATTAATTAATCATAACAACTAATAATTTAAATTATAAAGTAAAGACAACCAAAAAGTGATGAGCAAACTGTTTTCATTACTGTATTTTAAAGACTATTAACACTGTACTTTTTGTTTTTGTTTTAAAGTAATACTTTAAGAGTTAGATTTAACACTAATCTGAGTGCATTTGGTCCCACTCTGATCTACTGTTAAAATTAACTCTCTACATAGTGTGTATCTTACTCCAGTTGTTGTAATAACTCTAAAAGAGGCAATGTACTTTGACACTACATATTTAACGCTGTGGTATTTACCGTGAAAGAACATTTTTAACAAACAGAACAGAGAATGTAATTGAAAAAAAAGAAAAAATTCTCTGCAACAGCTTTCTTTTTTAACATCACGTTTATGAAACCAAAACCTTCATTCACATTATTTACTACTAATAGTATTTTATTAAGATATTATGGTGCACTTAAGCTACTCCTTTTGTCAAACATCTTACTTAGGTAAATATAATAGGAATTACTACAGATTGTTTCAATCATTTTCTGCTCCTGGATCATCTTCAATGAACCTTAAAAGTCTGTCCATTATTGATGCTTTGCTGTTGGTCCAAAATCATTTTAGTTTGGAAAGTCAAACTGAGAGATTGCAGTTAAGCTAAAGCTGTCGATGCATATTTCAGATACATATCTTTTTTGTTTGGCCCACTGGTTTTCGGTCAACCTAAATGGTCGAATTAGGACTCTATATGGACATTGTTAGATCCATTATTTATTTACCACTAGTCATTTATCTGGCTACTAATCTCTTATTTTACCTAAAAGCCAGTTTTGGGAATTTTTTCTTAGCATATATTATTTCTTTTTGATATTATGGTTATAAAAACAAGTCAGATTACAAAAAAAACACCCTTAAGTAATGATTAAATATTGTTTTTAATTCTCAGCTAAGATAACCCAGATAACCCACAGCCAAATTATTGCACAATCACCTTAAGGTTAATCAATCATAAATTACACCATTCAGTTGGTGAGGTTTGGGTTTGAGTACATAAATAGTTCTAGCATAGAAGTGGGTGTGTGTTTGTTTATTTCTTTTTTCTTAAATAATTTTGTTTAAAAAAAAAAAAAAAGGCTGACGGAAATAAAAATCAGTCTGTGTAGAAGACGAAAAAAATAATATCATTGTATCAATAATATATTCTGTCACTTTAAAGGAAGGAATACATTCTGATAATTAGTTGTATTTCAGCACAAAGTTTCCTCAGCGTGTGGATAACTGGGTCACACACAATGAATTGGTGCTGCTGCTGTTATGATTGATGAAGAGATCAGAGGCAGAGCACCATGAATGTAACACACCTGTTTCCATCAGAAATGCATGAAAGGAATGAATGATTCCTGGTGGTCCATCACCTCCCTGGACTGATACCACTTATCCTTTCTTATGGGACAAACCGACTCCCAACCAGTTTCAAAAACCTCAACACCTCTGAATACAAAAGGACTTTGCTTTATTCCAAGGCCCCATGCAGCTTCAGAGTCCCTCTCCTGGGAGTGGACTGCGGTCGTCCATGTCGCTCTGTAATGGCCCCCTGGGGCACATTTAAGATAATAAATAAGGAAGCATGTGGGGGAGTTTGCAGGATTACAGCATCATGGGTAAATGTTTCTCCTGTTTAACTCCTGACTTGCTTGATTATTATGTAATTAGCCCTGCTGACCGGCGATACATGTAATGTGATATTCAGCATTAGATTTATACTGTTTAACTAAATGTTTGTGGCCTACAGCCAACTCGTTAAAGAAGAGCAATTAATACGACAAGTGACACCGCAGCCTGGCTATAGTCATTTATTTATCTAAAGTTTGGAGAACTGTAAGCTGCTTTAACCTTCTAAGATGCTGGTCATGCCTAATGTATCTGTGCGCTTACATTCAGCTAAAATTATTACATTTACAAGAAAAGTTCACCGTTAATAATGAAATCATTTGCTTTATTTAATGACATTTAAACATAAACACAGATTCATACATGTTTAGAAACATGCAGTCTCTGGATCATTTTACAGGCAGTGATGAGAGTCTGTTTCTATATAATTAAAGAGGAGCAAGCACAAAATGTGAGGGAAAACTTTCTTTTTAGATATATGCCGTCTTTATTTTTAGCTTAGTAAACCAATAAAAAAGATAATTAAAAAAGATAAACAAAACACGTCTTTAAGGTTTTGTTAAAAACCTTTGAGTTATTTTGTTTTGTTCCAAGCAATACTTTTTCAGACATATATGCATATATATATATATGTATATATTTTTTATAACATGCTAGTAGTTTAGTTTTGGTCTGTCCTTCAGTTTAATAATGAAAGTTTTTGTTGTCAGATTAGTTTTTGAAGATGCTGTGTGTCACGGATAAGAAAACCTTATTGTCCTTTGTTAATATGGGGGCATTTCTCTAGTGTCACCATATTATAAATAGATAAACAAAACAACAATTAAAGCATTTTAGCTACTAGTCTTTAAGATAATGTGTTGGAGCAAGGCTGAGCTGTAGAAAAGTTAAGAAAATAAATTAATAAAAAAGAGCTGCAGTATCTTGAGTCTAGATCTTGACGCAAGTAAAATGATTTCTCCTACGCTTACACTGTATTAAAAAAATAGATGTTATTCAATTGTAGTCTTAAGAAGTATTTTAATTGAAATCAGGCAATTAATTTGTGGATAAGCTGTCAGTAAAATTTAACATGAATTGCCTATTTTTTGCAAAAATATTCTGCTGAAAGATTTTGATTAGAATTTTTCCTAAAGATGATTCTTTAAGCCAATGTTTGAATCCATCTTCAGCACTGATGCCATTAACCCTGAGGCAGCTGTTACCTCTGCATGACATCTAAGTGCCGTATGTCAGAGAAAAGGTTTACATTCCCCCTTATCTGAATACACGTAAAACATTTATTTCCCTAATGTTTTATGGCTTTGTCAAATTTGCTAATTTTTGGTTTGTTAATGACGTAGAGGACAAAAGCAGATAACTTCATTAAAAGGAACATGGAAAGTGCTTCTTCTGCAACACAGGAATGACCCTGCAGAGCTGGATCCTTGTTTGTTTATACTAATGATGGCAGCTGGGAAACTGCTTAATCTATGT